GCCCCATTAAAAAAATAAATCAAAGAGGAAGAGGAAAAAAAAAAGCTGGGTGCAGCAAAGCATGTCTGTAACTCCATTGCCAGGGGAAGGGTGGAGGGAGGGGACAGACAGGAGGATCCCTGGGGCTCACTGGTCAGCTAGTCTAGCTCAGTGAGCTCCAGTTCAGTGACACTCACAAAATAAAGTGGGACTGATAGAGGAAGACTCCCAATATTGACCTCTGCCCTCCACACATACAAAAGAAATCTTTGTGAGAGAAGGAAGGCTTATATTTTCCTTTATAATTGACTTCATCTATCAAATAAACAGAAATGTCATCCTTTTTCATAGTAAAATGTAGGATAATTTCTTTCTGAGACAGAATACGTGAACACCAATCTTTATAACATATAAGCATAAAATTATAAGTCATATATTAAAAGTCAGTTCTCGTCTTTCTTTTTTCAAGCCAAAGTAATTACAGGTCTCCTAATCCTTTAGAGATATTCCAGTGTTTGGAGATGTTTCCGGTTTCTCTTTCCATCTTTATTCGGTTTCATCACTTCTACTGTCTTCATTTAGAAATTTCAATGTGTGTTTATGTCTAGCCAACATGATATCAGAGTGTCTGAAGAACGTGTAAAGTGACCCAGGGGTAGGCACATGCACTTCATACCTCAGGACCCCCTGCGTTACTGTTACCACCCTCTTCTGGAGGAGCCTTGAGCTTTATTTGGTCATCACACTGAACCTTTAGTTTGCTGTGGGTGGAAGATGTCACACTTTGATGCATATTTTCTGAAGCTGGAAAAAACACGTCACAAATTGCCTATAAAATTTCCAAGAAGAAAATACATTTTAAAATGTTTGCAGAAAAAATCTGTAATATATTTTAAAGGCTCAAGGGCCTAAAATGTTGAAAAGAATAGTGACCATATTCCAACTTCAACTATTTAAAATTCAAACATTTTGAAACCATAGCCAATGTGTTAAGCACTGTAGCTTCTGGTCTCTTTTCATCTTAATCTTACCAATGATAAAATATGAGCATTTCAACTTCCTTCCATCTGGTTCTTCTGCTACATATATTATGCACCCCCCCACCCCCGCCAAAGTTTCAGAGGTAAGAGGTTGTGGAGTCTACAGGCATCCTGGATTAGATCCAAATTGTGATCATCCACAAGATTGAGGTTTTTCTAAAGAGGAAAGCTCTGTTTATGAGCTAGAGGGGTGACCTGGTAATGGGCCAGAATTCTGGCTCAAGAACTCTGCACCAGCACTGGGGTAGTGACTGCCAACAGCTAGGCATTCTGGCTGCTAAACCACACACATAGCCTCAGCTGAATCCAAGGGTTAAGGGATGAGAAAACTTAAAAATATAGGTAAGTTTAAAATAAAAACCCTCTCACTGGTGGATTGCATTATAAGAACACCCAAATCTAGGACCTCTGACACAGTGAACAGCAACATCCACAGCAGGGATATTAGGTTCACAGGCTCTGAGTGGTCTCAGCAGAGATCACTGGTGGGGAGGGGGAACCACATTTCAGGTACATCAATGGTATAATGTTAATTTTGGCATTATCTGTGATAAAAGGTATCTATTAGCCAGAGAATGGAATACTGGAGGGGAGAAACACCCTGTCTTACAGCTCCAGGCCTTCTCCCACACCTTCTTGAGCCCACCATCTCTGCTTTGGTAGAACCCTTGTGGACCCCCAGATCTCGAAGTTTTCACAGACATGCCTTGGTAGGTCTCCCTTCCCCTATCTTCCTGTGCTCTGTGAGCTCAGCTCTGCCAGGATCCTTGGACTCTCTGGGGAGCTTTCCCAGACTTGTCTGGGTACATTCCCTTTCTCATACCTCCTTGCAGCTTCCATCTCTGCTCTGTTAGGACTCTTGTGACTCCCAGATCTGGGAGCTTTCCCAGACCTGCTGTGGCAAATTTCCTTTTCCCAATGTCCCTGTGTTCCACCATTTGCCACCTCAGCTCTTCCAGGACCCTTGCAAGCTTCTGGGAGCTTTCCCAGATCTCCTTGCACTCAGACCTACTTGGATTATTAGGGTCCTTGTACTCCAAGGCCTATGTGCTCTCCCAGACTGATCCTATCAGTCAGCCTCTTCATGTAGCAACCACCCAGCCCACCCTGCAGTTCCAGAATCATGAGGAATCAACCCTAGAACCTCAACTCAAAAGTTGTAGCTATCCATAGCTGAACCAAGACCACTTCTTACATCCCATTTGCACGGAGTATAAAGTGGCTCCCAAACTGAACACCAAGCACCACTCAGCTGAGTCATAACCTGATAATCTGGGAAACAACAAAGACAAATAACTACTTAACAAAGATGACATAACCTGCCCACACCAAGAAACACCACCAAGGACATAAGTTCAGATGCCTATGTCTTATCAAAAACACCCAAAGAATGTGAATAACCAAGATAGTATGTCTACTATAGAAGTAATTAGTATCTCCCCTCCTCAAAATGTCCTGAGAATGGAAACCTAGCAGATGCACACAATGATTTCAAAACAGCAATTATAAATATGTTCAAGGTACTCGAAGAAGATATGAATAAAAGACTGAAGACTGTGAAAACACAAACCGTAATTTAAACAATTTAAAAAAATTAAATTAAAACTTAAAAAAGGAATCTCTAAGGAAAAGCCTAACTGAAAAAAAAACTTGAAATAAAAACTCAGGCACCCAAACAAACGGCTTTAAGGGAAGGAACAAAAAGGAAGTGGAGGATGGAACAGAACATCCAATCATGGAGACAAGCCTGGGGAAAGGGCTCGCTCAATCGAAGAAAATGCCAAATCGAAAATAACCCAGAAATGGAATATGCAAGACCTCTAGGACACTAAAAAAAGACAAACCCACAAATCACAGGCATAGAAGGAGAAGAAACCCAGGGGAAAGGCACAGAAAACACTTAATAAAATTATGTAAGAAAATTTCTCAACTATAGGGAGAGATACCTACCAATGTACAAGAAGCATACATAACTCCAAGAAGATAATTTCAGAAAATAAACATCCCACATCATTTAATTGCCAAAACACTAAAGGTACAGAACAAAGAAAGATATCAAAAACTGTGAGAGGAAAGATCAAGTCACACAGAAAGGCAGGTGCATCAGAATAACAGCTGACTTTTCAATGGAGAGCATGAAAGCCAGAAGGGCTTGGAACCATGTTCTATGAGGCATGAAAGAACACAGACTCCAGCCCAGATGACTAGCCCAGAAAAACCACTGACATTAATGAAGAAGAAAGACAAACTTTCCATGATAAAAACAGATTTAAGAAATTTATGTTTGGAGCTGGAGAGATGGTTTAGCAGATAAGAGCACTGGCTGCTCTTATAGAAGCCTGGGGTTCAAATCTCAGCCCCCACATGTCAGCTAACAACCATCTGTAACTATAGTTCTAGGAGATCCAACACCCTCCACAGGTGCACTTACATACATGCAGACAATACATTCATATACATAAAAGTAAAATAATTTTTTTTAAAAAATTATAAAAAGAAATTTATGCTTCTGAATTTAGCTCTTTAGAGAATACTCAATGAAATACTTCAGTCTGAAAAGAAGGTTGAACACAGTCAAGAGGGCACAAAGAATAAATAAAATATTTAAGAACAGTTAGCCAAATGAAGTCTAAGAAAACAGCACTACAACACCAACATAGCAGGAATTAATAAACACTGGTCAATACTAACTCTCAATATTAATGGTCTCAACTCCCCAGTAAAAAGACACAGATTAACTGATTGGATTAGCAAACAGGATCCATAGATTTGTTGCTTCCAAAAAATACACCTCACCACAATGATCAATACCATCTTAAGGCAAAAGAATGGAAAAAGATTTTCTAAGCAAATGAAACTAATAAGCAAGCAAGTATAGCTATTCTAATATCTGATAGAATAGACTTCAAATTAAAACTAGTTAGAAGAGACAGGGAAGGTCACTTCATACTCCCACACACAGGAACACCTAATTTCATAAAGAAACATTAGTAAATGTTTCTAAAATCATGCATTGACTCCAACACAGTGATATGGAGTGGCTTCAATACCCCACTGTCACCAATAGACAGGTCAACCAGACAAAATATAACAGAGAACCCTGGACTTAAATAACAGCATAAATCGAATGGACCTAACAGTAATCTACAGAACATTCCACTCAAACACCAAAGAACACATATCCTTCTCAAGCAGCCCATGGAACTTGCTTCAAAATTGACTACATATTAGGATATCAAAGCAAGTCTCAAAAACCTTAGGAAAATTGAAATATTCTGTATTCTATCCAACCACAAAGGAATAAAGTTAGATATCAACAACAATAAAATGGGAAACAGTACACACACTCATGGAAGCTAAACAATACACTACTGAATTAAAGTTGGATCAAGGGAGAATCAAGAAAGAAATTTTAAAATTCTTAAAATTGAATGAAAATGAAAACATGGCATCAAAACTATTGACCAAATGAAAGGGATCCTAAGAGGAAAAATATAGCATTATGTTCTTACCCTAGAGAATTAGAAACACCTCACATAAATAAATTAATGACGCACCTGAAGGCTTTGAAAACAGAACAAACAACATCTAAAATGAGTACACAGGAAGAGATCAATTATCAAGGTCCAAATTAATGTTCTAGAAACAAAGAAAAGAATCAATGAAATGAAGAATTGGTTCTTTGAAAAGGTTAACAAGATTGACAAACCTTTGGCCAAATTAACTAAAAGAAACTGAGAGAGGGCCCAAGTTAACAAACTTAGAGATGAAAAGAGTAACATTACAACAGACCTTGAGGAAATTCAGTAAACTTAAGGACGTACTTTAAAAATCTTTAATTTCACAGAACTAGAAAATCCAAAAGAAATGAATAAATTTCTAGATATGTATGGCCTTCCAAAGTCAAATAAAAATTACATAAATAATTTAAATAAACCAATAACAACCAATAAGATAGATGCAGTAATTTAAAATCTCCCAACTAAAAAGAGCCCAGGTCCAGATGGATACACTGCAGAATTCTGCCAAATCTTCAAAGAAGAACTAATACTAACACTCTTCAAATTATTCCACAAAACAGAAAAGGAAAGAACACTCCCAAGTTCTTTCCATGAAGCTAGTATTATTCAAATGCCAAAACCAGGCAAGGCCCAACAAAAAAAGAAGAAACTTATAGACCAAGCTCTCCAATGAACATGGATGGAAAAGTTCTCAGTAAAATACTCACAAACTGGATGTCTTCTGATCCCAGAGATGCAGGGATGGCTCAACATATATAAATCCTTAAGTATAATCTACCACATAAACAGATTCAAGGTCAGAAATCACATGATCTCATTAGATGTAGAAAAGGCCTTTGACAAAAATCAACATCAATTCTTGAGAAGTGTCATGCAGAACCTAGGGATACAGGGGACATTTCTCAACATAATAAACACAAAAAGTCCATAGCCAACATCATAATAAATGGATAAAACTCAAAAGAATTCCCATTAAAATCAGGAACAAAACAAGAACGTTCACTCCTCCATTCCTGTTCAATATAGTACTTGAAGGCTTATGTAGAACATAAGACAAATGAAAGAGATAAAGGGGATATAAATTGGAAAGGAAGAAGTAAAAGTATCCTTATTTGCAGATGATATGATTCTACACATAAAGGACTATAAAGAGACCATCAAAACCTTTAGAGTATCTATCTCAATAAAGCTGGTTTTTGTTGTTAAAAAAAAGAAAAAGAAAAAGCCATATGAAGCCTACCACTACAGAAGATACTTGAAGCATATGT